TTGTGGGATGTTTTATGCCCATACACATGCACACATCTTTTATTATGACAACGAATCAGGGAGGAAAATTAAACTGAGAGTTGATGATCACTCAATTATTTTTTATGGCTGAGCAAGACCTTTGAACCAAGGACTTCCAGTCTCAATCGTATGGTCTTAACCAATGAAACAGTCTGGTTCTCGGTCTTTTTGTTTTTCCTCGGAGAGCGACAAGCACTTATTAAAATACACACTTATTTTTTTATCGTATAAAATACACAATTATACACTTTAAAACTTCTTGGCTTTACCAAAGTCTAGATGAATTAAAGCCTCTGTGCAGCATGTACAATATTCTCCCTCATCTCTGGTTATTGATCATGAAATCATTCAGAGAGCCATTTCAGATAATGGAAATGTAAACTCGGTGGCATCTTAAAGATTAGTGCATGATGACATCATAGTTTAACAGCTGTCAGCTATTGATGGGTATCACAAATTATGCTATTTGCACACCTGTTTGCATAAGCCAGCCAATAAATAAACCACAACTGGCTGAGTTCACAAAACCGAAACCATGCTTTACAAACTTAAATAGTTGGCTTCATGCAATGTATCAAGCTCTAAGTAAAGAATCATGATAGCCTAGTGTAATATAAGAATACAGGCAGTATCTATCCTGCCTGTCTTTGGAAACTTCTACAAATATTGGGCTGGGTGCTGTTACAAAGACAATAGTAGACTGCCATAATGTTCATGTGAGAAGGACAATATCCCCGTTCTTTGCAAGCAGACATAGTTGTATTTGGCCTAGCTATCTCACCTCCCCTTTTTTTCCCTTCCTGTTTTGGAAATTGTTCTCTTCTCTTTCCTCCCAACAACATCTAGTTCCTAAGTATACAGATGCTTGAACATATCAGTCAAGACTATTTTCCACTCAGAAAATCATCATCATCACCATTAACTAAATCTCTCAATTTTTTCTGGGTAGTTTAGGCAGCAATTACTAGGGCTGATCCACTATATTATATTTTTCATTCATTCCAAGCAACGTGGATGGAGGGCAGTGACAAAATTACTGTGGATTAGATCCATTGTAAAATGTTGGGAGTTAACTGAACTGTGTTTCGATGTAAGTAGAAAAATCCTAGCTATAATCAAGAGAGAATCAAATAATGGATGCAAAAGCATTTAAGAAGCTGGAGAAGTTAGATTAACTGCTGATCAGCAAACTACCAAGTAACATGCACCCTTTCCTTAAACGTGTTTGCTTTGCTGACATAATTCCTATGGTTTGATGGGAACCAGTATAAAACTAATGTAGACACTTTGGGAAACAATCTCAAATTGTCTGTATTAATACAACATAGGCCTTTTAGCAATTATTTAATGTCCCTGACATAAATCTAAACTAAACATAGACTTCATGTCAGGTCACCAAATGCTAACCTTTTCCCATGATAATCTTTGTATTCAAAATTCACCCCAATCTCTCCTTCAACCTCCAATCTAGTCATCCTACTCAAATCAATCCAGAAAGGCCAGACTGCAAAGCAGGTAACTGAAAAAACAAAACACAACTAGCAGCCATGTGGCTGTGCTTTCATCATCTCACTAAGACTGTCCACACTGTCAAAGCTTCTGAGCAAAATAAAATGTTTTGCCTCTATTGAAAGACAAGATCATCAGAAAACGAATGAAGGGAACCCATTTCTCACATATTTCTTTGTTTGATCAACTGACTGACAATACAGTTCCTCCCAGGTCCTGCCTCAACACTCAACTTTTGTACAAGGAACCTGATTTTATCCTCTCTTATCTCCCCCACCCCACCTCTTTAAGCTAAGGCTGAAGTGCAGAACAGCCTCAGGCTGGAACCTTGATCGCTGTCATTGCTGCTTTGGGACCCTAGCTTTCTTTTCATTTTTATTTCTTGAAACACCTGGTTCTCTGCTGTATTTACATCCTACCTACTCTGCAGGACCCAATGGCAATATAAGAATGGTTGCAGGAACTGGGTAGGTCTAATTTAATGAAATGAAGGAGTAGGGGTAACATGATAGCTGTGTTCCAATATCTGAGGGGCTACCACAAAGAAGAGGGAGTCAACTTATTCTCCAAAGCACCTGAAGGCAGGACAAGAAGCAATGGATGGAAACTAATCAAGGAGAGAAGCAATTTAGAACTAAGGAGAAATTTCCTGACAGCTAGAACAATTAATCAGTGGAACAACTTGCCTCCAGAAGATGTAAGTGCTGCAACACTGGAGGTTTTTAAGAAGAGATTAGGCAGCCACTTGTCTCAAATTGTATAGGGTCCCCTGTTTGAGCAGGGAATTGGACTAGAAGACTTCCAAAGTCCCTTCCAACTCTATTATGATTGATCTTCATAAATGAACTACATAAGGGTATAAAAAGGGAACTCATTAAATTTGCAGATGACACCAAGCTGGGGAGAATTGCCAACACTTTGGAAGAAAGACTCAAGATTCAGAATAATCTTGATAGACTTGAGCAGTTCAGAAAAGTAACTTTTACTTTACTTAGGCAGGAAAGTAAGCTTGCCTCCAGAAGTTGTGGGTGCTCCAACACTGGTGGTTTTTAAGGAGAGACTGGAGAACCATTTGTCTGAAATTATATATAGGGTTTCCTGCTTGAGCAGGGGGTTGGGCTAGAAGACCTCCACAGTCCCTTCCAACTCTGTTCTTCTTCTTAAGCTTCCTAATAGCCCTGCGAAGTAGATTGAACTGAGAGGCAGGGATTGGTTCAAAGCCGGCCCGTCCCACCCAGGAGAGATATTGAAGTCCAATGAGAATTTGAATTTGGGCCTTCCCCCACCCACGCCCACCTCAATCCTCTTTCAACGCTCTGCCCTCTGAGGAAGAGAAGAAAGAAGGAAAAGACACGGAGGCTGACTTTTCATTTCTTCAGAGTAAATCCGCCTGTCAGATCTCCTGTGCACGGAATGTTGCATAATCAGCACTAAATAAAGTATGGTTCTAATAGTAGGAAAGTACAGAGAGTTTCTCCCTCCTCCCCCTTCCACACCCCCCCTCCCCTTCATTACTTTATATTACTTTGGAAAGCTTGAGAGCTCCAACTGTATAAATGCCAATAACTTCCCGAGTTTTTTAAGGCTCCTGCTGAAGTAAGAGATCAGATTTTAGCAAGTGCTTTGCAGGCAACCAGCCAAAAGCCTTCTGATTCACTAAAAGCAACGAGTGGACGAGAGGGGGGAGGGGTCCGATAAAAGTTGGCGAAGGAGGAGGGAGGATTAACTTCAGTTACCGCACAAATTAAAAAGAGGAGAAGGAGGGAAAGGGGGGGCTCCTCTTTTTTTTTTTCTTCCTCCTGCCAAGTGCGCCCATTTGCCGCGCGCAAACGCCTTTCCTTCCAACCGCAAACTCGTTTCCAGCCAAGCTCGGAGAATCGCTTTCTGCCGCTTTTTTTCTTTTTTCCCTCTCTCGCTCTCACTTTCCCTTCAGAGTCCCGTTCCCGGGTTGTTGGGTGGTTTTTATTTTTTTTCCCTACTCTAACTGGATCGTGGTTTGTTTGGTTTGGTTTTTTTTTTTTCCTCCAGGAAGGTAAAAGGCTACGGCGCCGCTTTCCGGCTCGCCGGCTGACTCAAGATTTCCCCCCCCCCCCCCATCCCCGGGGGTTGAGCTCCTTCCCAACGCTGGGAAGGAAAAAAAAAAAAAAGATCCGCAAAGAGAGCGGAAAGCCTGGCAAACAGGTGCATTCCGGGCGCGAAGGAAGGAGGTCGGACTGGAAGCGAACTGGAAAAGGTGCGGCCGGTGGAGCTGCGCCGGAGCAACTTGCGCGGGAAGCAGCGCCGCCCGCGAGGCTGCCGGGGAGGCCTCCGGGGGGCGCAAAGCACCTGCTCTGCCAGGCTCTGGATCGCGGGGCGGGGCGGGGCTGCTCGCACGTGTTGCGTTTACCTCCGTGTCCAGCCGTCTACCGAAAAGGAGTCTCTCTTCGGGCGCTACCCCCCCACACACACACACACACGCTTAACAAACAAACAAACAAAAAAAAACCACGGCCGAAATCGTGGAATACCCTGAAAAAGAATAGGATCCACCGAACTACAATACCCTGCACCGTCCTTTTTTTTTTTTTTTTTTGGTAATTCTCCTCACCTCACGTCCCTCCCCTGTATCACACATCGAGCGACAGGTATATGCGGCGTTTCTAAATTCCTTCCTTTTCCAATCTATCTTCCTTCCCCCCCCCACACACAAACACACAATCCTTCCTGCAATCCGGGCTTCGTTTCTCTTAAGAAACGAAGGTGTGGGGAGGGGGGGGGCGGAGAGGAACTTGGCCCATTCGATTCCATTGTCGGTCGGTCGCCCTCCTTCCCCCCACCCCACTCCCGTCCGGCTTTGAGGAAGAAACTCCGACGCTTTCAACGCTGAACTGACCCAAAACTGCAACCGCACACAAGCCCCACCGCCTCCCTTTCTCCCTCCCTCCTCTGCCCCCCTCCCTCCCTCCTTCGAGGCTCCCAGAACAGAAGCTCCTGCCCGCACTTTCCACAACGTTTGCGGCGGCTAACTTTTCCTTCTCACCTCGTTAGCTGGCCTCTCAGGCCCTCCGCAAAAGCACTCGCTACTAAAGGAGGCTCCTGCCGTCCACCAGGCGACGGCAGCCGTGTGGGAAGGAGCGGCCGGGCGGAGTGGCTCTGGGGTTGTGGGGGGGAAACAACGCAAAAGGTGCTTTGATTTACACTTGCGGCTGCAGCTGGGGGAGAAAAAAAGTTCGGGGAGCGAGAGGCGCCGTTTTGCAGAGCCGAGGATTATCTGCCGATTTGACTGCAGAGCAACGGATAGAATAAACCTCAGACTACAGTATGCAAAACGCCCGGGACCTTTTAACACGGGAGCGGTTAAGCTCTCTCATGAAAGGTGCCTCCACGGTTATAACTCAAATCCACGCCGGCGTTTCAGAGGAACAGAAAGAGCGGGGGGGGGAGAGAAATTGGTTAGAGCAGGGAAGAGGAGGGGGAAACAAGGCGCTTACCTGGACTTGGATGCAGAGCAGCAGGTAATGTAACCATCTGGGGAGAAAGGAGTGAGAGAGAGAGAGAGAAACAAAAACAAGATAAGATTAGAGGACGAGGTGAAACGGTGAAACTTCGACCCACGCGGGGTGGCTTTGTTTATAACGGTCGCGAGGAATACCGTCAGAGCCGGACCGCTTTGTTTTCCTCAGGGGAAAACCACCGCCGCCCCCCCCCCCTTTCCACACACACACACACACCCAGCCGCCGCAACAGATCCGAACCACCCAAACCGAGACTTTTGAGAAAGCAAAAAAAAAGGCAGACAGGCAGGCAGGCAAGCGCGCGCGACGGGAGGGGGGGGGGGGCAGAGAGAATGCCACTATCCTTACAGGCAAGTGCAGGCGGAGAGCGGGGAATAAGACATCGCTGAGTGAGGTGGAGCGGCGGGGGTTGGTCAAGTGGCTTCAAGGGAACGGCGTCAAATCCCCCGCCGCAGGCTGGCCATAGGAAGGGTCCTGCTCCGGGAAGCTCCGCCGCTTTCCAGCGATCTCGCTTGGCGCTCAGCAGCAGTGAGGAGAAGTTGAAAGCCTGCCTGCTTTGCCTCCACCGAGTGACTCCCTTAGACATCAGCTCTCCTCTTCTCCCCCACCCCCCCACACCACCACTCTCTCCTCCTCCTCCTGGTCTGGGGATGGATGTGTGTGTGTGCGTGCGCGCGGGTGTGCGTGTGTCTCACTCCCTCTCTCTCTCTCTCTCTCGTGCTCGATCTCTGGAGCGGCAAAGGTCCTGCTTGATTGTCAGTAACTTCCGATCGTCAGCAAACAAGCCTGCCCTCCGGTCGCCTCCACCACCACCCCCCCTTCTTCTCAGCCTATTCTTCCCGTCTCTTTCTCAGATCCGGCTGCTTGCCCTGACCAAAAGAGCGACCCAGCCTGCGCTTTGGCGCTCAAGGATGGCTCTCGGATCCCAGCGGACTCTCCGCCTTTCTACCCTTTTCTCCTCTTGATCGAGCGCAGCCTCCGGCCGGCGCAAAACTGCCCCCTCCTCCCGGCGACGTCGGACAGGTTCCTGACGAGGGCATCGAAGAGGAAGGGCCGAGAGCTTGCTCGGCCAAGGACAACCCGAATGGGGCCACCGGCCTTGCCCCGCCGCCGCTTCAGCGCCTTCTCCGCCTTAGCCTCCCTCTTGTCTTCTCTCAACATCCTCCCCACCGCGCGAGAGAGCGCGCATCATCGGCCAGTGAAGGGAGGTGCTGGCTGCTGCTTGCACTTGCTGGAGGCGAAGGACAATCGAGAAGCCAGCTGGCTGCCGGCCCCCGCCTCCCTCCAGTCCCGTGGCGGGTGTGGAGCTCCACCTGGGCAGCCAACGGCGACCGCAGCAATTCGGGGACAAAGCGAGCGTAGCCAAGGCGCCCCGTCTTCTGATGCGGAGGAGCGGGCGGCTGACAGGCGAAACCGAGGCTGGGCGGTTGGAAAGGGAGAGAGAGAGAGAGCTCTCCCGGGAGGGCTGTTTGCCAGGATCGATCGGCCATGCTCAGAGGCAGTCTATCCTTCTAAATGCAAGAGAGGGCGGCGGGCGGTGCAGGCGAAGCGCCTTAGCGTCGTGGCGACCTACGAGCCTTCCAGACATATGCCAGCCCAACTGAAAAGGTGATGTTGGACTAGGTGGAAACTTTGGCTCTGTCTGATTTACCCTTATCCCGGGCCCTGTCTGCTGTAGCAGCGGACTTCGGAATCCAGAATCAAAAAGAGAAGAACGGGGGCTTGGAGAGGGGAGGATGTTGTTTCCTCACTAGGTCTGTCCTCTTTACACCCTGCCCTCTTGGAATCTGCCGATGTATCTTGAACATCTTTCCTTACTAGTGGCTTAAAGCACCATTCATCGAAGCGTCTGAGTCCTCCCCTGTCCCTAACCACAGCACAAACATGCCGTTCAGTATTGAGATTTCTTGTTGTGTCTCCTGTGGTCCCCTTCATCTCATTCTTGGTCCATAAGTGAGAGGGGCTTAAGTTGTCCTTAGCTACGCTGGTATTAAATAACTTTTTCTTCTTTATTCCAACACTGTCCAAAGACAGTGTTGCTTAGGCTTTGTCACTTCCTTAGGAGAAAGTTAATTGACTACAATGGCCCTGACAACTGAGGCAGTCAAGGCAGAAATAGGGATCAGCAATGAGAAGAGCAGATGTCATGCTGCTATAATTTTGATAAGGATAGATGGTTCCAACTCAATAAAAAGAATGGCCACCGTAAATTAGGTTGACTGGGTGGTGGCTTCCATCCTGTGATCCTCCATGCTAACCAAATGCCTGGCCATTACTCTTGATGCTTTCAGACCAATGGTCAATCAATGTGACTTGTACATACACACTCTTCCCGTGATCTATGGGAGAAAGCTCAATATTTTCCCAAGACATAATGTGGATCTGGCCTTGCCTTCTCCAGAGGGATAGGAAAAAACCATGATTGTTCCACTCTGCCTAGCAGGACCCAATCAGTTTAAGCAGGAACAATTAGTTGTTCTGGAACAAGAAGGATTGACCAGTTTAAATCCTAGGATGGAGACAAGATGGGGCCAGCGTGAGAAGAACACTGATATTGCCTGTGTGGTCTGGTAGGAATATAAATTGTGAGTAAGAAAAGAGCTTGATAAATACCATGATACAAGAGTTCTTTCTGGGGTTAGGTATAGTAAGCCAGTCCTGCTATGTTGGGAGGACATTCCACCGTCTCATTTTATTGAGCGGGGTCCTGAAATCAACCCATCTTTCCAAAGGACAACTAGGAGCAGTAAAAAACAACTTTAAGAGGAAACTTAAATCAAAGAAAGTTGTATGACTGTGTGAAGGGACTCCTTACTTCACCTATGTTAGAGCCCAAGTCAAAATCTGCAGAGCCGGGAACCTCCTGGGCTGAAACAGAAACCCTTCTTGGATGGAGAGCCCATTAGAATTGGTTTATGTCACTGGAGAGGAGACAATCTCAGAGTCAAAAAGGAAGATATGAGCAGAAGGGACTCTTGGTGTTCCATCCTGAGGGGCCCTGCTTCAGATGGCAATCCCAACTCCTTTTGCTTGCTGAACACAAGAGAAAGCTTTAATCTGCCTATATATTTTTTTTCAGCTGGTCTGGAAATTAAAAGTTTCAGATCAGGTCATCTTTAAGTGCAGGTCCCCGATGAAATCCAGTTCTATCTAATCTAATCTAGAAGCCTTTTTCACTCTACTGCCCTCCCCTCACCAGAAATGGCATTGCCCATTATGGAAGCATAGCCATCTACCAGCAGATTTTAAAAACAAGTTGTTTTGCCTCTTGTACAGCATTGGATAATCTGCGACCCTAATCCTTTGTGGAAATCCCCTCATTAAAATGGCTGAGGACAGAGTTAGGCAGCATTTTGAGGTACCTAACACTTTAACAGGCATATCGTAAGCCCCACTCTTATGTATGATGTGACCATATTCTCTGGGGGTGTCAGCTGTCTAAAAAATATTAAGTGCAGTCCTCAGCCAGGAAAGGTTATCCATCCCTTATTTAAGGGAGCAACTCCTTAGGAGCATATTAAGATTTATTTATCTCTGTCTCCTGTGCCCCTCCTCCCATCCCCAACCTCATCCTGAATGTTAAAAGGCCTATTAATTTTTTTTTTCAGCTAAATTAGGGAGATTTTAAAGTGTGCATTGTACTTTCAATCAACATTCAATTCAATATACCAAAATGATGACTGTTGTTTGGAAGCATCCCAGTAGAATTGATAATACAACTAACACTCAGTGTTATACAGTGAGTGGATAATATTTTGATAAACCTAGATTCAAATCCCTGATTTGGGCTTCTTGCTGTCTTTTGAACTAAATTCAGATTTTTATTTGTAAAAAAAAAAGTGGGAACTGAAACACAGGCTTGTTTAGAGCAATACATGCACTTTTTCACAAGAAATGAACCCGACTGTGGCCATCACATCCTCACTACACACACACACACACACACACACACACACACACACACACACACACACACACACAGAGTTCCCCATGGCTTCTGATCCACTGCAGGTCTTAATGTAAACTATGACTGACCACTCATACTAGTTGTATTTAAAGCAAATTTCATCCCTCTATTGGAAGTATAGATATCTTTGTGTAATATATGTGTGGGATATACATTAGTGTCTTTTAGGCACATTTGAGCATCTCATTTCTGATCTTTTGGAAACACATACAGATGTCTCAGCAGATAACCAAGGTAGACAGCTTCTTATCTAATAAAGCTTCAGATTTTATGTTCCTAGCTGCTGTACCCACCTGCTCACCTGCTTTTTTATATAACACTCTCAGGAAAGATGGGATGTGTCTCAAAAGTTGTGACTATGGCATGAATTAAAACTTTCATGGCATGTTAAGAAAGTATGGTTGAGTCTCTACTTAAGAAGAGGATATATATGATCTACTCTAGGGTCACAGTTGAAGGAAGAGCACAATAAGGAGCAATAAAAGTTAAGAGTAAGAAGCTTAAGGTAGTACCTGAGATTGTAAAACAGGTCCTTTATTTATGGAGTGAGGTGTGGAGATTCATTAGACTCCTTTAACACACATGAAAAGTGCCACAGTTTTAGTTTGGTCCTGCCAACATATAATAGGGAAATAGCCTAAATCAAGCTGCCCTATTCATACCACTTCCACATGTGTTGGGCTTCCAGCTCCTTAAGTATTGGACATCTGGGAACTGAAATGCTACACATCTGAAAGCTACCAAGTTGGGAAAGATTGGTATGACCAATAGGGAGAAATAGCTTAAGCTGGGAAGAGGAGACCTGCAGTAGTGCTGCCTTCCCTTAAAACTATATGAACATAATGTGGGGGGAGGAGGCAGTATTGTTGGAAAGAAAGTTAGGCATGGTGACTATCTGAAGGGCAATTGCAATCCAGTCTCAACAAGTCCATTGTACCTGTGTAAGCAATACTACTTCAAACATCAAGTAAGGAAGAACCAGAAGAAGGAGCTGAAGAAGCTTCTTGGATGAGAAGCGAAACATCTTCAAAGAAAAACCAGAAAATTCAGTTGCTCTTGAAAAAGCACCTTTGGGACAACCATGACCTGGATGACTGAGAATCTCCATAGACAAATAAGGGAGAGTTAACTTACTCAGTTTGGATGATACAATTCAGAGAGAGGTTGACAAATGCAATGTGTGAGAAAGGGAAAGGGAAAGGAAGGAGTATCTAGCAATAGTTGCAGAGATTGCCACATATTTACCTCCGAGAAGCAATGCAAGAAACACTCTCCCTCTATAAGCAAAAAAGACTTTAATCTCAAGAAGAAGTCAAGCCAAGGAGAAAACATTGGATGACTTCCTTGTTTCAGAAAAACTTTAACCTGCAAAGTCTGCATTTCTTCGAAAGATACCTTGGATTCGTTGAACACCTTGCTGAATACTGGGCCATGCCCATCATGAAAGAGCCAGATTGAGCACCAGGCTGTGATGACTGGCAGAATCAGTGGATGAGAACAAGTAGCAAGATGCTCTGAGGACAGTTTTCTTACAGAAGAATTAGACTAACATTAAATCCTAACCATCCCGGGAAATACCTCGTTAGTCCAACTGATCAAGGCACATCCTTGTGTCAATACCATCAATGTGTAAACATTGGCAAGATCTACAGGATAATCTCCCATTATAGGTCCTTTCTTCTATATTTGGCTTTGGTGTCTATTTCCTAGTTGGATTTTGATAGGACTGTGTTCTGTGTTTATGCAATGTTCTGCTTTGATCCAAATTTGCATTACTTGTTTTGTCAAGTTTTTTGTTTTATATATTTTACTGATACAATCCATGTGTAGGGAAACTGGCACAGGATTGTAAAAAAAAAAAACATGCCTACTTACGTACAATTAGCATAATGTTGGTTTTACAAAGCAATTTTTTTATTGCTGCTGTTGCCTCACTGAGATATTTCTTTCTTTCTTTCTCTCTCTCTCCCTCCCTCCCTCCCTCCCTCTCCCTCCCTCCCTCCCTCTCTCTCTCTCTCTCTCTCGTTTTCAAGAACAAAGTTTTTAAAAAAAGTCAAAGGAATTTTCCCACATCCCAGCTGTTTTCCACCAGTTGCTGGTCTGAAAGAGTTTTCAAACACTTCGCTTGCCATCTAGTGGTCAAGTAATGGAGATGAAAATAGCGTTTTAGAGTAAATAACTT